GATCTTCTTTTCAGAGAATGTTACTCGCGAGTTGGGGAATCAAATCAGCATGGAGAGTGGGATAAGCTCGACACGAGATTTAGGCAAATACTTAGGAATTCCTATTCTACATAAGCGGATTAACAAGGATACCTTTGGAGAAGTATTGGAGCGTGTTTCAGCAAGATTGGCAGGCTGGAAGGGAAGACTTTTGAGCTTTGCGGGGCGGATTACACTCACCAAATCTGTTCTCACGTCTATCCTGGTGCATATGATGAGCATTATTTCTCTACCAAAAGCATATCTGAAGCGACTAGATAGAATCTCCAGATCCTTTCTTTGGGGTGAGACAATGGAGCAGAGGAGAATGCACCTCATTGCCTAGAAACGGGTGTGCAGACCAAAGGGAGAAGGGGGCTTGGGTATTCGGCAGTCAAAAGATATGAATAATGCTTTGATCTCAAAGTTGAGTTGGCAGATTTTGCATGATACAGATAGCCTCTAGGCTGGAGTACTACGCAACAAGTATAAAGTCAGGGGAATTTGAGATACAGGATGGACTGTGGCTAAGGGGAACTGGTTCCCTCTTTGGAGGACTGTTGTGACAAATCTAAGAGAAGTTATAAAACCGGGTCTGAAGTGGGTTCTTGGAAACGGGAAACGGATCCATCTTTGGCAGGATAAGTGGTTACTCGAGACTCCTCTAATAGACATGGCAGTCGCAGATATCCTTGAGGAGTCTTTAAATGTACGGGTTAGGGAGCTATGGAGTGTGGATGGGGGATGGGGGATGGAGACTGGATAGGATAGCCCCTTTCATCTCGTCTTACGTGAGGCTGCAGCTAATGGCAGTGGTGGTGGATACTATTACAGGTGCACGGGATAGAATTGGTTAGGGAGAGAGGCATGACGGGCGTTTTACGGTATTTGGAACCGACTTTTTCATGTGGGTAAAAGGCGGAGTTTCTTTGAAGAAACGATTCTAGAATGGATATACAGAAACCTTGGTGATCAATCGGATGTGATGGGATGCCCATGGGCTACGATGTTCGCAGTTGGGGCCTAGTGGGGCTGGAAATGGAGATGTCTCAACATTTTTGGGACGACTATGAAGTGGCGTGACATAGTGAGGTTCATTAAAGAACTTGCAAAGGAAGTAATCGCAGCACAAACTTGTGTAAGAGGAGATATCACTAGGACAAGAAGGGTGGAGAAACAAATATCTTGGGTATCTCCAGTGATAGGTTGGTATAAGCTAAATACTGATGGAGCTTCTCAAGGTAATCCGGGTCCAGCGGCAGCTGGAGGAGTTTTGCGAGATTGCGAGGGCAACTGGGTGGCAGGGTTCGCGCTGAATATCGGGATATGCTCGGCTCCGCTAGCAGAGCTGTGGGGAGTGTACTACGGACTGTACTTGGCCTGGGAGCAGAGGATAACACAGCTGGAACTCGAGATCGATTTGGTGGTTGTGGTGGGTTTCTTGACAGCAGGTATTAGCGAGGCTCATCCTCTGTCTTTCCTGGTACACTTGTGCCAAGGCTTTTTGACTAGGGATTGGACTGTCCGGGTGTCTCATGTGTATAGGGAGGCTAACCGCTTTGCAGATGGGTTAGCAAACTATGCATTCTCTCTTGATTTAGGTATTATTATATTAGAGTCTCTACCGGAGGATGTTGCTTGTTTAATTTCAGATGATGCCCAAGGGGTGACAATAGCACGCTCTGTGCATATGTAATAGTTTTGTTGATATAAATAAATCAGAGGAGACTTTTGTCTTCTTCACCCGACCAAAAAAAAAAAAATCTCATTCACACACGTTATACACATACAAAAAATGTCTCAGTTGTTAAAAATGCATATTTTGTAACTTGAAAGTCACAAATACCTATATTTATAAATAACTCTATCTTCTCTATGCTGTTAATCTGGAACAAGATGTTATAAAGTGATTATATTAGGTTTGCTTAGATTTGAATTAGATTCAGAATGGTCTGAACTTGATAACTATCATTCCCAAATGAATTATGCATATTCTCCTTATTTAAAACTTCATAAATAAGTTCACAAAATACATTCCTCAACTGCTTAATTCTAGTTCTGGTCATTGATCCTTCTAATACAAACATAGTTTTCTCATATTCAAGCTCAGTTTCCATTTTAATCATCTATAATCACATGAGACTGCCATTCTGGTTGAGGAAAATCTTCAAGCAGCTACTTCGATTTCTGTCTCAAAGAGAAACCTAAGGCGAACTCACAATCCATATAATAGGTTCTAAAGTTATATATTTAAAACTTGAAATGCAGACTTTAAATCATATGCATCAAATGGTCCTTAGAATTGCTGGAAAAAGGATGTTATTACCTGAAAAATATATGTTATAACTAAAAAATATGCTATCGAGGTATTCTTGCATAGTGGTGTATCCAAAATGAGATATAATTATGTAGCAAAATGAGAATTGCCCCATTATTGTAAATACTTGTTTCAATCATTACTTGGAAAGATATTGATTGATTTTTAGTTAATATTTATTTAATCCATATAGGAAATTGTGTTTTTTTTTTTTGTGTTTTGAAAAGACTGACCGCATTTCTTGTTCATCTTGGCTCTCCGCAACGCAGCGCCGCGTTCTCTTCTTCTCAGGTTAGCTTCTTCGATTCTCCTCTAACACTAATGCTGCTTTCGCATTTTTTTCATGTGGTCTGATTTCTAAAACTTCAAATCCTTTTTACTTTTTCCAGCTTGCGTCGATCTCAAAGTAGAGATTGATAAACCCTAGTTGTTCCCGTTCTATTTTAGAAACCCTAGATTAGCGAGCATTTTAATCGGAATTAGTCGGAACCTAATTGAGACAGAAACCTAATCTCGAGTTGTTTCCACACCTTCAGAAATCGGCAGTGTTAGACTATGAAGATGAGAAAGAGCTGTTACAAAGTGAATCAGTAAGTTGGAGAAGATGGATATTCATTTAGTCGACGAGGTTTTGCCAATGGGGAATAATCATGTGATGGGAGATGAAGGAGATTCCACCGAACGTAGCGATTGCATTGGATCGAATCACATCGAGAATCCATTGGGAGTTCAAGACCAAATTGGTATTGCAGTTGCAGAGCCATTTGTTGGTATGGAATTCAACTCAGAGAGAGAAGCTAAATATTTCTATGATGAGTATTCTAAGCAGCTATCTTTCACTACAAAGCCACTTATAAAAGCCGTCGGGTCTCGCGAATTCGTCTGTAATAGCAAAAGATCGAAACGAAGACCTTCTGAAAACTGTGATGCAATGATGAGGATAAAGAGGAAGAGTGAGGATAATAAATGGGTTGTGACGAGGTTCGTTAAAGACCATATTCATGGGTTGCCAAGTCCTAACACACTCCAATGTCTCCGTCCTCGTAGGCATTTCGCCAACTCGGAGAAACCCATCGCCGGGAACAATCAAGAACCGGCGAATGTGAATGTGAATGTTCCTAGTGGTATGATGTATGTGTCTATGGATTCTAATAGCAGAGGAGGTAGAAGCGCGTCTAAGGGCTCTTATCGAGGAACCGGAACACTTATGGCTACAAACACGAAGAGAACTCTAGGACGCGATGCGCATAATCTCTTGGAGTATTTCAAGAGGATGCAAGCAGAGAACCCTGGTTTCTTCTACGCGGTTCAGCTTGATGAAGATAATAACCAGATGACGAATGTGTTCTGGGCTGATTCGAGGTCTAGGATTGCTTATACTCATTTCGGCGACACGGTGACACTAGATACGAGATACAAATGCAATCATTTTCGGGTTCCTTTTGCTCCGTTCACCGGAGTGAATCATCATGGTCAGAGTATCTTATTCGGCTGTGCGTTGATCTTGGATGAGTCGGAATCTTCGTTTATCTGGCTACTCAAGACTTTTCTAACGGCGATGAGAGATCAACAGCCTGTGTCTTTGGTAACTGATCAAGATAGAGCCATACAGATCGCTGTTGCTCAGGTGCTTCCAGGTGCTCGTCACTGTATTAACAAGTGGGATGTGCTTAGAGAAGGTCAAGAGAAGCTGGCTCATGTGTGTCTCGCGTATCCTAGCTTTCAGGTTGAGCTATATAACTGTATCAACTTCACCGAAACGATAGATGAGTTTGAGTCATCGTGGAGTTCGATAATTGAGAAGTATGACTTAGGAAGACATGAATGGCTTAGCTCTCTGTATAACGCTCGAGCTCAATGGGTACCTGTTTACTTCCGGGACTCGTTTTTCGCCGCGGTGTTTCCTAGCCAAGGCTCGTTTTTCGACGGGTATGTGAATCAGCAGACGACTCTTCCGATGTTCTTTAGGCTTTACGAAAGAGCTATGGAGAGCTGGTTTGAGATGGAGATCGAAGCGGATATCGACACTGTCAACACACCTCCGGTCTTGAAAACTCCATCTCCAATGGAGAATCAGGCTGCGAATCTCTTTACGCGGAGGATTTTCGCGAAATTTCAAGAAGAGTTGGTTGAGACGTTTGCTTACACTGCAAACAGAATCGATGATGATGGTGCCACCAGTACATTTAGGGTTGCAAAGTTCGAAAACGACGAGAAAGCTTACTTGGTGGCGTTTTGCTACCCGGAGATGCGAGCTAGCTGCAGCTGTCAAATGTTTGAGCATTCCGGGATACTCTGCAGACATGTTTTGACGGTGTTTACCGTCACGAATATACCGACTTTGCCACCGCATTATATACTAAAACGGTGGACGAGAGATGCCAAGAGTGTGGATGAGCATGGCGGTGAAAACGGATTCGATAGCTTGACACTCCGCTACAATCATCTATGCCGCGAAGCCATCAACTACGCTGAGGAAGGGGCGATTACGAATGAGACTTATAATGTTGCTTTGGGAGCACTCAGAGAAGGTGGGAAGAAAGTTTCAGTTGCCATGAAAAACACTGCACCTTCTAGCTCGCATTGTGGTGGAATTGGTATCGTTGAGAAGACTTCGCTACCAGCTAGTGACGCGACCCCTTTGCTATGGCCGCGTCAGGATGAAATGATACGGAGGTTTAATCTTAACGACGGTGGTGGTGCCAGAGCTCATTCTGTTTCCGATCTGAAACTGCCGCGTATGGCACCAGTGTCAATTCACAGAGATGATGGTGCGCCTGAGAATATGGTATCTTGTTGAAATCTTTCACAGTCTTGTTTCTGTTTTTCTTCTATTGGTGTTTGGGTTGTAATTTTGAGTTTCTTTATCTTACAGGTAGCTCTTCCTTGTCTTAAGTCAATGACTTGGGATTGGGAGAAAAAGAATACAATGCCTGGTGGTAGAGTTGCAGTTATCAAATTGAAGGTGTGTATTATATGAACCTGAAACTTGGTCTGTTGTGATGATTGCATCTAAAACATAATAGATATTTGTAAGCCTACAAAAATGTAGTTGAGATTTTTGGAGTTATCAACTTTCGCTGAAACTTGGACTATGTGTGATAATGATTGCATCTAAAATATGTAATAGGGATATTTGTATGCGTGCAAAAATGTAGTTGAGATTTTTAAAGTGAGATTCTTTTTTCATGATGTTTTTTTTCAGTTGCACGATTACAGAAAGTTTCCCTCAGCAGATATGGATGTCAAGTTTCAGCTGTCTAGCGTGACACTTGAGCCTATGCTAAGGTCTATGGCTTACATTAGCGAGCAACTCTCAGCTCCAGCCAATAGAGTGGCTGTCATCAATTTGAAGGTATTCTTGTTAGACTCTTGGACTTGTCAGATTCTCCATGCAAACGGCTAGTTTCTACTGTAGTTTTCACTTGATGCGATGAAAGTCTCGGCTTCACTTGAACAAAGTGTCTTTAGTTTCTTCTTCAATTTCCTTATTATCCCCATATTAGTTACCTGAGTATGAAATATTGGTTTTCCTATCGTAGAAATGATCTTTTAAGATCCACTTGGATTTAAGCAGAAAACAGCTTGGGGCTTGAGGATTTGTTCCACCACTGCATAGGACTGTAGTTTACCGTTTTCTTTCATGATGCATTCTTTCATGGGAAAAAGGATTTGCTTATTTTATGTGTGGCTCTCTTTAGTATTACCGTCTTCTTATGTCTATTGTCTTATGTCAACCTTGTTGCTATTTTTACTCCAGCTTCTAGATTCTGAGACAACAACAGGAGAATCAGAGGTCAAATTTCAGGTGTCCCGGGATACATTAGGTGCTATGATGAGATCAATGGCTTATATCCGTGAGCAGCTCTCTATTGTTGTAAGCACACTCTCTTCAATTCCTTTTTTTTGGTTTTGGGTTCTAAGTAGTAGTTATTAATTTAAAGTAATGGCAACCAAACTGTATCTTACATTCGTAGGGAGGGTTACAGACAGAACCACAAGCGAAGAAACAGCGCAAGTGATTGAACGAGAGAAGCATGCAACCACGGAACAAAAAAGGAAAAAAAAAACTCTTTAAACTTGGAAAGGCTTCGTCTTTGTAATTGACGTTGTACGATACAATGTCTCCTGTGTAACGAAAGTGTCACGTTTGAAGTGTATATATCGTCTTTTTCAGCTATTGATCCCATTATTAGATGAGATGTATTGTGATTCTTTGTTAGTCATTTGATGTTTTTTAAAAAAAGCATTTAAAAAAAAGCAAGTAACAAAATGTTGATAAGACGAATGATGTACTACAAGAATTCTCATGCACATTTATGCATCGTCTAACAAATAACTAAGCACATGAAAAGTCAAGGAAAATATATGTAGTGTCTTACGCTTTAGCGAGTGAAAGAATACAATATCAAAGCACATGTAATTTGCAAAATCTGTTGCTTCACCTTCTAACACTGATTCCTTTGACTCGACCCGAATGGGTAATAACTGATCCATCTCTCTCTAAGCTTTCCCTCTTTGTCTACAAGCTCCTGTAATCAATAACAGTCACCTCTTCCTCTGGAGCATCAAGGTCTTGGTAGCTGCAACATTTTCTCATAACATTAGTTTCTTAGGAGACACTGCACACTTGTTCATATGGTTACTGACTCTAGACTGAACCAGTATTTGATGATACTCTTGAAGTATAGAGTGAACCAAGTTACCTGCGTAGCCGTCTAGGATCCTGTCTAAAGGCAGGAGACAAAAGAAAAGGGGCTTGTCCGCCTCTGCCGCTACCTTCAAAAGAAGGGTTGGGTCCACTCGGGTCTCTGAACATCTGCATCGCAAACTCAGCTGGTGCTGGTACGAATGGTCCCAATGGCCTGCCCACATCCATTATTTAGACAACATTGAAGATCATCGAGAAAACATTATATGATCAGATTATGAGAGAGTCTACCCGGCACCGGGAACAGGCATCAACACTGGCGGTGGGTTCACATCCGATGAGAAGGAAGGAATATGAACACCGCCTTGTCCACCATATGCATCGTTGGGGTTTGCACCATCAGGGCCATTACCATCACCTCTCTGTTGATCCTCTGACCGATCAATTCTGTCATTTCCATTAAAACTTCCGTCACGCTCTCTGCGTCCACCTCGATCATCTCTCAGCCTGTTCTCCATGCCTTGTTTACGTTTCATCATAGGTCTATCTCTCTGTCATAAGTATATATCATGAGTGAAACTAAAAACAAAGCGAAAACCCAAAAGTACAGACTAGTCAACATTTCATCGAAAGATGAAAAAGGATCATGTACCGGGCCAGATTGCTGCGTGGCTGGTTGTCCTCCTGGAGCATTAGGATCACTGCAAATGGCACATAATTTTTCATTACGAATCCGTCAGAAATGACAGAAGAGGAATCCAAGAGAGAAACCCATACATACTTCATATAATTCTGGAAATACAGTTCTTCTCGCACTTTGGTAGTCAAATCCACGATAAGCTCAGTGTGTTTCAGTTTGAGATGCTTGTGCACAAATTCAGCAGCATGAAACAGTTTCGTGCAGCCTTTAGCTCCACAACCATATTTCCAACCATACTTCTCATCCCTAATCTTTCGGACATGTGGATCTAAAGCTTCACTAGCAGCCGCATCTATCTTCTCTTTGGCAGCCATCACTTCCAAGGGATCTTGACCTTTCAACCTCTCTTGCCAATGAGAGTCAAATTTCTTTTCGCTCTCGTCTCCTTTTGCATCAGATCCTTTTCCTTCAGCTCTCACATGCCGCAGACCCTTAGCTTCATTTGTTTCAACCTTTCCGTAATAGTCCACACCATGGACACGCCAGAGATACGTAATAAGCGTGTCAAGCAATTCAATACCCTCAAGGCCCTTCACAGATGTCAAGCCTCTTATGATTATAACTGGACCAGTCGAACCACTGTGTAACTTATCTCTACCTGACTTGTCAGTTTCCGAACCTGATAAAACGTTTTCCACAATTCCTTTCTCAGTGTCCAGCTTACGCACCAGCGCTTGTGCTTGATCAATGTCGGTTAGGATTCTCTTTGGATCAGAAGTGAAACTGGGTGCTTTCGGTGCGGCTGAAAGAAGGTCAGTCTCTTTAGCTCCACCCCTACCAGGTCTTCTTCTTTTGCCGTTACCAGCTGTTTCATCCTCAGAATTTGGCTCACTGGCCTGGCCGGACTTATTCAATGCTGGCACTGCAGGACTTCTGGAACAGATCAACGGGAAACTGTTAGCTTTAGAGATGACAGAATATGGAGTAGAAGCAAAAGGAAATGATCTTACAAATCTAGATTTCCGCTCTGTAAATCAAGTAAGAAATCCTTTGCTACCTTCCGTGCAAGTTCATTCCTCCTGTTAATTTCAAAGGAACGTAAACGTTTGAAACAGGTTTTCTATAAATGGAGAAGAAAAAAAAGAGAGAACCAATCCAAGACCCTAATACCATGACTACAAGAGATCAGTGCGTCGTATAAAAATATTACACCGAATTAAATTGCTGCAAATAGCTCCTCAACTCACCTTTCTGTGACAGTAAGTAAATTTGTAGGATGGTACTTGTCTTTCAACCTAGATGCGTAACATAGATAAGCATGTTAATAGGTTAGCTTGCAGAATTTCCCAGAAGAATGTACAAGAAGGAAACAGATAGTGGAAATCACCATTCTTCCTCTTTGTGGGTGTTGAAAAAGACACGTTTTTGTGTTGTGATATACTCTGACTTATATTCTTGATATCTGCATTAGGTAACAAGGCATTACCCTTGCAGCTTTACGAGACAAATAGCTTTACGAGACAAATGTTTAAATAGCAAGACTAAATTGCAATAGTAACAGTACCTGCTTTCAGCTTCTGATGGCAATATATCATCTTCCAACTCCTGGATAAACTGTTTGTATGACATCAACCCATCCCTGGATAAAGGAGGTACCACGGTATTTATTTTTTATTGCAACAGCAAGGGGATGTACAAATAGCACTAGTCGTGTGCTGCTATATCGCACTCAACAGCAAAAAGTGGAACAAAATAAAGGCTTTATAACGTACTTCAATATCACATGTTTGAGAAATAATTTTCCAGTAGCTAATCTGATATCGTGTGTCTCAAACGTTCACTATAACATTCCAGAGCTATAAATAAGAAAGCATATATGCCTCGTCGGAGAAGAACAGTCGGCAAGGGATATATCTCCCTTTCTTCAAGCATCATTAGACAGCTCATAAGTCCTTGTTTACACTTACTAGTTACTAGATTAGAAATCCACTACCAAAAATAAACACACCATAGGATAAAAACAACCCAAAAAATACAAAGAAAACAAAGATGATGGAACTCTAACCTCTGAGTACTTCCACTGTTGGAAGCATCACCATAGCCTCCACGACCTCCCTCCCAGTCTGCCAAGAGAAATACAAAACAAGAAGGCAAACAGATACAAAAATTTTAATTGTTTCAATCTACACAAAGCTAGCACTATAAGCGATGTTAGCTCGTTTCCAATCTAATGATAGTCATTTTAAACATATATCATGCTAATTCCCTCAACAGATCTCTTAGCACTATGAACTATGCTAGTCAGTTGAGCCACAAGTATCAATTTATATGAAGGGTCTATGACAGTCATCTTAAACATGTATCACAAGACGTGAAATCAGATGCAAAAGTGGGAATCCAGATTCTCAACTTCAAACACAGCTGAACAACAGTTGTCTCACCTAGATAGCGACCCATAAAGCGGCCATGAGGCCTTTCATCGCCATAACCAGGCCTCCCACCCATTTCACGGTCATATCCTCCACCATAGTCATATCCAAATCTACCACTCGAAAGAAAAGAATGGTGAACCGATCAGGAAAGCCCAAATACGATGGGACATAACAATAATTGTTACAAGAGGACAATCAAAGTGACAAAAACGAGGCTTGATATTCTAAAAACTATCAGTTCAGCATTTGTTTATCCTCAGCTAAGCAGCAAAGTCGAGTCTCAGTTCAATCGATAACAAATTGACTTTGTCGTAATTCGAATTACGTTAGAGAATCATGAGTGAACCAATTTCATTTCCTCAGATAACTGACGCAAGTTTGACGGTTCGCTTCTCTTTCCATGCGACTGAAGCAGAGGAAAGAAGATCCAAGCATAGTAGATGAGGATTACCTTCTATCCGGTGGGCCATAGCCACCACGGGGACTGCCACGGCGACCATCATAGCCATTATCGTCCCTCCTGTAACGCTTGTGAGGAGGCGAGCGGCGCATGGGAGGAGAGTGCCGTCTATCTCTGTACGGCGGCGGAGGGCTACCACTAGGCCGCCTCTTGTAATCCCTGCGGGGCGGTGGGGGAGGCGAACGGTCACGGCGATTAGGCGGACGTTCGAGGTCTCTGTCGTCACGCCGCTCGCGGGAATCTCTCTCGCGGTGGTGGGGAGGCTGCTCCTCCTTCTGTTCAGGTTCCTGTTCCTGCTGCGGCGGTGGGGAAGGTGGTGAAGAAGAGGTGGTATTCTCCGTGACGGAATCGGCCGGAGGAAGAGTCACATCGGTCATTTCGAGAAGACGATCGGAACCCTAAATCCGGGAATATCGCTGATTACTATCGGTATTTTTCGTCAGGTTTATTACTGTATGATGATGGGGAGACACTCAAAACTCAAAAGCCTCCCTTCTCTACCTTTACGGGTCTGCTGTTACATCAGCGAACCTAAATTCAACTCGGCCTTACTCAGAGCACAAGCCCATCTCTGTCTTCAAGGAAAATATATTATTAATGGCATCTATTTTTATTTTTTGCCAATTCTGTAAAATATAACACATTTAGTTTTTACTTATTTACTAGGTATTTATTCGCGCTATGCTGCGGGATGTTATTCTAAGTTTTATATATTTTAAAAATAAAAATTTATTTTTTATAGTATAAATAAATATTATATTTATTTTTTATTTAGTATAAGTTTTGGATTTAGGTCCTATTTATTCCTCCATCTATAGTTCATTTGAATAAAAATAAGAATTTTGTTTGTTTTATGGCAAAACCAAAAAATATTTAGATGAATTATCTAGATGATTTTTCAAGATTTAGATAAATTTATGAGAATTATCTGAATGAACCAAATTTGATCATCTTGATGGATATGTTTCAGTTCAAAATGACAAATGACTAAAATACTCTTAAATTTAAAAATAATAAAAAACCTAAAATCATATTTTTCGAAAAAACCACAAATTATGCTTTTCTAACGAAATCTGAAATTTTTTTTTTCTAAACTGGTAAAATCATATTTTCTGGTAAAATTGAGAAATCGCATTTTTCAACCAAAACTAAAAAAACATATTTTACTATTATAAGTTTACTTATGATCATAAATTTCTCTACTCGCAGGTTAAATTCATATTTTTAATTATGAAACTTTTAATGCATGTTTTTCTTACACCAACTAAAATAATTATTTTAACATTAATATTTCTTTAGCATTAAAAAAATATTTAGTAAAAAACCACAAATGAAACAACAATTCACATTAGCTTACATATTTACTATAGCTTAAGTTTATATATTGATAAGATCGCTACCTTAACTCTAGAAATTAAAAAAGCTACAAAATATATCGAAAGAAACCAAATGACCATGTCAAATGTTTGAAGCTTGTATTTAATTGACTTCAGATCTTATAACTTTATTTTTCTTCAGTTCTTCTTCTCTCACATATGCTAGAAACAAGTCTAGCAACTACGAAAATAGCTTCACAATGTCGCCATTCCTCCCATTCTCCAAATCATATTAGCGTTTCTTTCATCTATTGAATCATAGTCATTGGTCGAGATTTAGGCAGTTGACAACTTTTTCGATCAGATCTCTGATACATTTAAACGTAATATATTGCTTTCAAAAACTTAATACACTTTCAAATATTCATTCATAAGTATACAATAACTTGATTAAAAAATACTCATTCTGTTGATAATTAGGAGGTGTTATTGGTTCTTGTATTTTAATGGATTTGAGAATCCAAACCAAATTCAGTGTTATTGGTTCTTGTATTTTAAAATCTATATTGAAAATCAGTGTTATTGGTTCTATGATTTTAAAATCCATAATGAAATACAGTGTTATTGGTTCTATCATTTTAAAATTTAAATATTATAAAGATTTGAGTTTTAATTGAATTTGAATGGATTTGGAAGGATTTTCATGACTAAGGAGGTGTTATTGGTTCTTGTATTTTAATGAATTTGAGAATCCAAACCAAATTCAGTGTTATTGGTTCTTGTATTTTAAAATCTATATTAAAATACAGTGTTAGTGGTTCTATGATTTTAAAATCCATAATGAAATACAGTGTTATTGGTTCTATCATTTTAAAATCTAAATATTATAAATATTTGAGTTTTAATTGAATTTGAATGGATTTGGAAGGATTTTCATGACTAAAATACAAAGACTCAAATACAAGGTTTAACCTTGGTATTTGAGTGGATTTGATTTTTTTCTATTTTGCTGATTTTGAAATCAATAAATTTATCAAATCCAAAAAAGATTTCTAAATCCACCAAAATACAATAACCAATAACCCCTACTAAAATACAAAGACTCAAATACAAGATATAACCTTGGTATTTGAGTGGATTTGATTTTTTTTCATTTTGCTGATTTTGAAATCAATAAATTTATCAAATTCAAAGAAGATTTCTAAATCCACCAAAATACAAGAACCAATAACCCCTACTTAATTAAAATTTGGTGCATTCTCACTTTGTCAAAGTATAAAAAATTATTTAATTTTAATATATAGAAAACATAATTTTCTGGATTTTTTACTTTTTATCATATATTTGCTTTAAACATGTAAACATTATCATACATAAACATTAGTCACATTTATATGTATATATCAAATCTTCAAACTTCACACTATATTTAGATATAGTTTTATTAATAAGCCATAGGACAGATATGATACAGGAGTAACACCCAAATACAAAGGTCTTAAAAATTAAAGTATTAAACGCAAGCCTAAATAAAACTTAAACTACATTTGGTATTACTGTAATTGGATATCTCATCCGCCTTTAGCATCAAGGATAAAGCTTTTAAAATTTCAACTTTCAGAAAATTCATCATCACAATGCGATTGTAGATCTTTTTCAAACTGTTTCGAGAACCACCATATCTCCTGAATAGATACATGGTTAAAAAAATCTTCTTCCCCACAAAGTTGCCACAAAGTTAAAATCTTAGAAGTGAAATCGTAAGTTTGATGAAATAACAATATTAATTGATTCATTAGAATTTTAGGTTTGTTTGCCAATAAACGTTATCAATTAGTTAGGTTAATTAGATAATTTCTAGAATAATTGAAGAAGATGGACGAAGAAGATGATGAAAATGAGAAAGAAGATGTCGATAATATACAATGAGCTTCAGTTTGTTCTTTTTCAAAAAAAATTTAAAAAGAAATAAAAATTATAAAACAACACGTTGTACATTATTAAAAATGGTGTGTTTTAATTTTTGTCATCGATATAATGAGGATTAATTTTGCAGTTATCCCAAAATAATAATATTGGGCTTTAATTTTTATGTATTGTCTATATTGGGTCTTATTAATGAAAAATTTTGATGATAAAAAGAAAAAAATTTGCCTATGTGTTAAAATATTGAGATAAAGTGTATTAATGAAATGTTTTAATTGGTTCAGTATTTTGCTGATGTGTCAGCTTCTAATAACACAAAAAACTGAGTTGTAAACATATGGAGAGACTTATGGGTTATTGTTGTATTGATTCAAACATAGATGTTAAGAGATTTTGTTTTCCTATGAAATATCAAATTTATCGATGAAACTGTAGAAAATATTCATTTGAGTTTGAAATAGTAAGTATTAGCAGATTTCAAACCATCGTTTAGATATTTTTCTTTATTTATAGATAAATTTTTAATAAATGAATAAATAAATAAAAAAATCAAACTTTAAGAAACACAAATGTAAAGGTGTTTTTTTTGGGCTTGCAGCCTTAGATAAAAGAAAAATCTGAATATAAGGAAAATGTTTAAAAGGTTTTGGGCTCGAAGAAAATAGTGGGTGTACAAAGATTAGATGGTACTTTGTGATCAAACATACTAAAAAAAAAGTAAAATATTTTTTTAAAAAAATGGTTGAAAACTCCCGTGAAAAGTGTGAGACTAGAGGTATTGGTTCAGATTTGAGAAAATTATGCTGATTTATTTTTACAAATTTTAGGTGATTAAAAGGGATTTGAGAAATAAACAAAAACAAAATATTTTTAATTTTTGATTACACTACCGTAGTTAAAAAATAGTTAAAACTTTTATTTTCGTTTTTTTTGTTAAGTTTTATTTTCATTTTTTTAGTTTCAAATTTGTAAAATAAATTGAAGAAAAGAATCGACATGAACAAAAAGAGAAGAACAAATGAACAAAAAGAGATGAATAAACAAGGATGATTGAAGAAGAAAAGAAAATAGGATGAGGAGGAAACTGAAAGAAGAAAGGAAAAAAAAAAAGAGAAAGAGTGAGAAGTGGAAAGAAGAAGAAGAAGAAGCAAAGCCTTTTAACAAAAAAAAAAAAAAAGAAGAAGAAGAAGCAAGGAAAAGAAAAAATAGATGAGAAGGAATCGAGGAAGAGAGGCAAAAAGAAGAAAGATGTGATAATTAATTTTTGATTTTCTCAAATACCATCTCATAAGATGGTATTTGTATGACTTTACTTTTTAATTATAAACTATCTCACGAATCATTCAAAATTATCTTTAAAATATTTTATTATTTCATTAAGAAAATCCAAATTTTCTAATAAGCTGGAATTTGGAATAACTTATATAAATGACTAGTTCAATAACTTTGAATTTTGAATAATTTTTATAAATACTAGATCCAATAAAAGAAAATTTGATTATAAATACAAATTCTTTCAAATCGTCAATCTAATATGCCTCCCTAAATTTTGTAAATTTCAACTTGACCTGTTACAGTAAGAAACCTATCTCAGTCACCATGAAAACAAATATGCTTTGACAATATATATATATATATATATATATTTGGCAATATATTTTTTTTAATATAATTATATTATTTTTATTTTTTTATGTCAAAGTTATAATTATATTATATATTATATTGTTTGCTATATTTTTATGAGTTATCAAGGTAGTTAACTTTGAAAAAAATGATAAAAACAGAAAACCAGAAAACTAAATAATATTGAAAATAGTCAGATCCGACTTTAAAATATCTAAGGCTGCAAACCTAAAAAAAACTACTTTACATAAGTGAAAACACACATCAAAAAAGAAAAAAAAGAATTTTTTTTACCATTTGGAAAATTAAACTCTAGCAAATAAAAAAATGTAATAACAGTAACCACTAAACTAAAAATAGGGTATTGTATTTGGAGGGTGGAATTTTCTTAATAAAAATATGGCCATAAGTGTTCCTGGCCTTTTACCCGGACCCGGCGGACCCGATCCAACCCGGCCCAAAAAATTCGGTTTGGTTCGGTTTCGGTTCTCTGCAATAACACGATTGGATTTTGATAATTTTTAGTTTGAGTATCGGTTCGGGTCGGGTAAAACCCGAAAAATCAATCGGATACCCGATAACCCGAATCTAATTTATGATTTTATCAACTTTAACCAATCCTAACCAGACTTTATCAATTTTAATCAACCTTAACCAATTTTTACCAATATTTCGAATGTTATGCATATGAGTTATTTTATAATTTATATATAATATATGATAAAATCGAAATCGGATGTTATCAAATCGAAT